CCTTTGGCCACATTAAAGGAAAAATAAAACCATTGTGAAATACTATTGCAAATCCCTGCGATAGTGTGAATTTTGGTTTTGAGATTCATACTTAAATCTACATTTCTTTTAGTTTTCATGTACATGTCTCTTTAATATAAAGATCAACATTTGTCTTCAAATATAGTCAAAACTTCCAATCTAGTAACCTTCAAATATATGGGGACTGCAAGTCCCAGAATCCCCAGTCAACAGTGCCTTCACATCTGTAGGATATCTGGTGGGAGAGGCTCCCGAATCATAATTCCCAAATCAGCTTCATATCATCCTATGTCAGCCAATTGATGTGGAACTGAATAAGGACTTAGACAGCAGGGACAGACACATTGTGGCTGTCAATGTGATGAGAACAAGAGTAAGCATTTCTTGATGACTCGTGGAATTAACAGGGCAGCAATAACTGGGTGTCCTGCCTTGCTTGAGTGGAAGTAATTCTCATTAGCACAAAGTCACTGTTGGATATCCCACTATAATAATGTTCCCAGTTTTGAAACAAGCATTCTTGTCCTGTTACGAACAGAGGAAACACCTGTGTGTGATATGCAAACATGGGGGGAAAGTTATTATTCCTTGAGTTGAAAAATATAGATATATTGATTGATTGTACTTTTATACAGTATCTCCATACTCCATAAAGACTCCAGGTGGATCACTTCCTAAAACATAAAAACAGCAAAACATAAAATTATAATAAATTAATCAAGTGCTGATATAATACAAATAACTGCGGTGCTGTCAGCTCACTCACCAGATGCCCTCTGATAATACTTGGTCTTCAGTAACATCTGGGAGGCCACAATCAGGTTCTGGCCCAACTTCAAGAGGGAAGCCATTCCATAATATGGGACCACAACTCAGAAACATTGTTTGGGATCTCTTTCCCCTTTGTCATTCAAAAGTTACCAATATCAAAAGACATTGACACATATCTGCACTGACATGTTAAATGCCTAAGTGTCAAGCTTTACAGCAGAAATTACAAACTCAATTTCACTGAGGGCCGCATCAGGGTTGTGTTTGATCTTGGGGGGGGGGGGTGTTGTCAGCTCGACATCACTTGTGTCAGGGGCGCCTATGGCGGCCCGAGCGCTCTGCCAGTGAAAACAGTCTCCTGAGCTCTGTTTTTGGCTGTGACTGCCTCCTGCAACCCTCTGCCAGTGAAGACGGAGCTTGGGAATGTCGCCTGCAGCCCTTGTGAGCTCCGTTTTCAGGTGCGATGGCCTCTTGCAACCATCTGCCAACAAAAAGAGAGCTTGGGAGTGCCGCCCTTGGGAGCTCCATTTTTGCAACCCTCTGCCAGCAAAAACGGAGCTTGGGAGGGCCACATGCAGCTCCATTTTTGTTGGCAGAGACATTGCGGGCCGGGCCTTTGCTGTTTCCAGGCCAGCCCCACAGGCCAGATCTAAGCACCCCACAGGCTGGATCTGGCCCCCGGGCCTTGAGTTTGACAGCCCTTCTTTACAGGGTTTTACAGGTTTAAACTTCAATATTGAACTGTATTGGGAACAAGGGTAGGATGCTACCGGTTCTGCCCGGCTCTATAGAACCGGTAGCTTTGAAGAGCAGCAGACACTGAACCAGTTCTGTGTCTGCTGCTGTTTTGGCCCACCCGCCTACCCGGGCTCTTACCTGTCCTTTATTTCCTGCTTTTTCAACCTCAGCTGCTTTGTGCGGCACAATTGAGGTTGGAAAAGCAGGAAAAAGAGACTTTTCAAACACTGCGCACCCACGCGCAACACTTTTCAGCTGTCCGGGCAACACAGCTTACGACTTTTTACACGCACAAAACGTAATCACCAAACCGGTAGTTACACCTGATTGGGAACCTATTCGTTATCAGGATAGTAACCATGTTATATGACTGTGTTGATCCTGATTTGCTAATTTAGGAACTGTGGCACTTGGACAAATTGCCATTTTCCCATAGTTTCAAAAACAGCCGTGGCCGTAGCCTTTACTTCAATAACTAGCAGCTGAAAGTTGATCTTTAAAAATCCCACTAATTCTTACTGTTTTCAATACCTGATTTCTTTATTTCATTAGAAACCTACCATTTGTCTTAGTGAAAAACATCATCTTTTTAAAAATTGTAATTATTTCATCCTGAAGTTTATGATGTCACATTAAGAAATTAAAGTCAACTGTAGAGGAATGCAATCTTTATGTAGTTCTCAGTAATATGGTGTCTTGATTAGAACATACTGGATACTGGTGCGTGAATTTGTGTTGATTTAACATTTTATGTTCTTTCTGGGAATGGGAGGGTCTTCAAAGATAATATAATCTTCTAGCATAATTCTCACTGAAGTTGTGTAATGCTATGAACTAAAGATTCAGAGTTTTTATTGGATTTAATCTTGTCCAGTTTGCTGGAAGAAAATGCTATTAATTCCCATGAGAATGAGCATAAGGAATCTTTCCCCACTCATAAGAATTGATTAAGCAATTGTTTCACATGATTTTTTAATTCATTCTTTGCAGTCTGTTCTCATTAATGGATTTTAAAACATTTTACAATATGTAACTAGTTGTCCTTTGGATGAGTGTTCACACTTCTGTCAGACTTTTATCACATTTGGTTTCAATTACAAATAGCATGTGTTTTGTGTTGGCTTTACGGACTAATTGGAAACCATGTGGTGCATTTGCAAGGAAATCGGTTTGATTATTTATTTCTTTTTCATCCTTGCTTAGTCTATGAGAGATTCTTTGTAATGTGAAATGTACACTGTTTACAAGGTGAATCAGACATTGAGACAGGTTGCTCTACTCCACCTCTTTGTGTAGTTGGGACAGTGTATTGTAGCATCCTTAGTGCTCTCTGCACTCTGTTGTTTGCTTGCAGATGCTCATTATCCACTGAACATGTTACCTAGTTGGGTAATGAAATGCCTGCAAGCAAACAACCAAGCCATATTCTCTTCTGTGTCAGGATGCTGTGATGTATTGTCTCAAGATTAAGTACCTGACAGGTAGATTGCACAAAAATATCACAGTGTTAGTATTGACTAGCGATCAGTATTAATTCATAAAGAGCAAGTCCTGCCAAACTAATTTTAATTATTGTTGATTGAATTTCTTATAGTTTGTTGGAATATTAATGCACCCTGGACAAAGCAAGCTGATTAATAAAGCCTAGGCGCTCCTCACCTTTCATTAATGAAAAAGAGGATTTGCTTATTAAATTTCAAATAACCGAAAATATATTGAAATAACATAATAAAATACAATAGTAAAATTCAGAATGATCCTAATATCATTCTAAATGCCGGTATCATAGGAAAACAGACCTACAATGTGATTGATGCTATTTGTATTATAGCTCTTAAACTTTCAGAAACAAGATAACCCTATAACTTGCCCTGATTCAATAACCCATGTCCTTATCACTATCCAGGTCTGCCTCTGGAGATTTTCTGTAAGTTGCAGCTGTTTTTAAAAAGCAGCAGTTAGGCTTAAGGTGGGACATATCTACCAGTGTAAAATAGCACAAATTAGATTTGGTTTATGGATTGCCCGTAAGTTTCCAAGCCCAATCCAAATACTGGTCATTACTTTTAAAGTCCTACCTGGTGTAGCCCTAGAATATATGAGGCAACAGTTCATCAGATTTTAGTCTACTCCTCTAGTCATCTACAAAAGTCATATTGACCACCTCTGCTCCACATTGTACACATTGGGTACAGACACATGACAGATCTTGTAATGGTATGTGGGAATGACCTTGGCAGACAGGAAGAAGAACCACAGTCTAGGTGATGCTCATATAAGAAGCAGCTGGCCTCATGAAAGGAATGGGGGCATAGCAAACATCTCAGAAGGGACCCTTCCTAGGTTGTTGGGCTATAAAGATAAGGGGAGACAGATGTACTTTCAGACTTGAAAGATTCTGTTAATATAAGCCTACAATACAAATGGAGTTCATGTGGGTCTTTCCTAATGTGCCTCAAAAGGCTGACACTTGCCTATGATAATCTCCACCTTGTGGAACTCACTCTCATCAGAAAATTGTGCAAAACCCCACCTTGTTGACATTATATGGAGAGAAACCTTGAAGGACAGGAGGAAAAACTGCTACCAAGGGACAGTCAGATAAGTGAGGCTTGAGCCTGGGCCAAGAAATAAATGGAGAAAATATATAGTATCAGACAAGCCCTTCCCTAGCTCAGATAAAGATCAAGGAAAGGAGGGAGGAAGCACATTTAGACTTGCATGATCCTGTTACTCTAAAGTTTACAATAAAAGTAATGCCTGGCCTACATGGCATTGGTGTTTTAGTCTGGTCTACCTTGTAGACACATTTCAAACACAAGTTTATTTCAGCAAGACCTTGTCCCCAATTAAAAGATTGAGTGTATCTCTTTTTGCTTTTTGATTGGGAATGTACTGTTAGGCTGCTCTTTTTCTTTCTTGCCATTGTATTCAGGCCAGAATCCATTGAGATTGGTGCAGGTTATCTCGCTTCTGAGACATTTGCTATGCCCCATTCCTTTCCCAAATAAATAAGCAAAATCATAGTTGAAATCTAAGTTTATATTAGATCTAAGTTCATATAACACTAAAATATAATTTAGCAAGGCACCCAGATTTGTCCACTGTGTTTAACAGATTTTTTATTCATTTATAAAAGAAAACTTTCAGCAGTATTCAGATTTGGAAAGACGGCTGATAGCTATTTGCTCTTATTTATCCTTTTCCCCAAGATTGTTGTACGTACAGTAGTTTGAGGAAGGAGATAGGATAATTAAGTAAAGTGTATGCTGTTATGACTTTTTAAAATAAACCAATTTTCAACCATGGTTTATGAGGTTGCTTAGTTTATACATATACTACACATATATGCATATTCATTTCTAAATTATGTATTTTCTGATTAAAGCTGATTAAACACAGTTCAGCACTTTGTCTTTCCAGATATATCCCATAATACAATCAAGTGTTTGTTCTTTTATCCATCTTAGCTTCGTGATGCTGATATGATGGTCGTGGGCAGTACCAAACCTAAAGAGATCTCAGTGGCTTGGAAAAATCCTGAGATCACTACAGTGGATTGTTCACAAGGCACTTTATGGGGTGAGTTTCGTTGGAGATGTGAAGTACAGTAAATGGGTGCTAAAGCTTAAAACTTGCAGGAATTAATTTCTTAATGACAAAAAAGGATGCTCTTATATCTTGACATTTCAAATAAAGGGCAGAAAAATTAATCTTCCTTTGACTGATACTGATAAATCCTATGAACAGTCCTAATTTAGCATTACTTCAGGAGGCCTTCACTTTACCGGCATCCCTGACTAATTATTCTTGCTGGCTGTTGCGTAGAGCCATTAGTGCCTATGTTTCTTCTGTCTCTTTTCTCTCTCTCTCTCTCTCTCTCTCTCTCTCTCTCTCTCTCTGGGCATTAATTGATGTGTTGAACTCTGAAGCCTCCAGGATAATGGTTGATAGATTTTCCATTTTTCAGTGTCATAATATATAGCCAGTTTGGTATAGCAGTTAAGGTGCTGACCTAGAAACCAGGGGATTGTGAGTTCTAGGCCTCCCTAAGATATGAAAGCCAGCAGGGTGACTTTGGGCCAGTCACTCTCTCTTAGCCCAACCCACCTCACAGGATGGTTGTTGTGTAGAAAATAAGAGGGAAGAGTATTAGATATGTTTGCTACCTTATATATAAAAAAGGCAGGACAAAATTAGAACAGTAGGTATAATAATAATGACCTGCACTGTCACATATTGTTGAGCCACTGGATGACGGAGAAACTTAATTCATGGGGAAAGACCTGGAGAAAAATTTGGAACTTTGTTACCATATATGTTGACAGCAGCAAGACTATTGTATTCACAAAAATGGAAGGACACTTTCATTCCTGCCATGGACGAATGGTTGAAGAAGTTGATGGTGGTGGCTGAAATGGCAAAATTGACTATTTTGATTAAAGAAAAGAATATAATTTTGTTTCCACATGGAGACCGCTTCTGAACTTTGTGCTTGTAGTGGAAAAGAATGAAATTTTGATTTTGGGTTTTACCAATTAGATTGCTAGATCTTTATAGAAATGGCTTGTTTATATTATTAGGAAAAAAAACACAAAGTTGTGATTTGATGTTAACACCTTGTTTTACTGCAACAGAGATAGTCAGAAGTCAAATGTTTCTTTTTTTCTCTACTCTTCTTCACTTCTCTTCCCCCTCTTCCTCCCACCGTTCTCCTATTTACTTTTGTATTTTGTATCTTATTTTATCTTAATAAAAATGTTAAATGGGAAGAGAAACTTAATTCAGAGCACAGTATCTTTCCATGGAACAGCATAGCTTGCAAGTGTAAAGGAATGAGATGCTACAGATAAAGTCTCCTCATGCCTTCAGACACAATATTTTTCAGTGGACTCCATTCATACCGTCAGCTAGAAGAATGCTCCACTCTGTTACTCCTGGCATCAAATCGTCCGCTCCAGTTTCCAATCAGGGTAAATTCTGAAACTCAACTACATGTTATCTCTCGACTGATAAAAACAGTTATATGAAGCCAAATCAAATAATCTGAAGAAGCACAGAAGTTTAAGCAAAGGGGAGAAGAGAATCAAATTTGGCTTCCTTTGTTTCTTATTGTTCTGGCTGAGATCCTAGCATGGTTTCATTGTGACAGTCATTGATTTATGGCTAGGGTAGACACAGTTTTAACTTCCAGCAAAACATTCTCCACTTCTCATCTAAATTGACATTTTCCAGAAGATTGATCTTGAAGAACGAAGTGTGAACACAGTGAAAGCTGTTTGATTCCCCCTCCCACCTTCTTGAGTGTTTAGTGTTCAAGCTGTAATCTTCTTCATGGCTCCTTTATGACTTTGTTGTCAAAACTTAAACGAATTGTGATCTAATGATATTTAAGTTGCATTGCAAGTTATACAGAATTAAAAACAACAACAGATGAAGCTAGGGGCTTCTATGGTTGTGCATGGTTTTGAATTCAAAGGTTTAAAAAAGATGCTTGGAGCATGCAAGGATACTCAAGGAAGCATCTTTCTAGTTTCTTCTAAATATGAAGTTGTGTCGTTTTTTTCGATATTAAATTTGCCAGTTTTCAATTACCGTATTTATCGGCGTATAACACGCACTTTTTTCCCCCTGAAAATAGGGGGCAAATGATGTATGCGTGTTATACGCCGATATAATGTTAAGAAGCCAGCGGAGGCCGGGCGGTGCGAGCGGAGGGCAAGCGGTGCGAGCGGAGGCCAAGCGGAGGCCGGGCGGTGCGAGCGGAGGCCGGGCGGTGCGAGCGGAGGGCAAGCGGAGGCCGGGCGGTGCGAGCGGAGGCCGGGCGGTGCGAGCGGAGGGCAAGCGGAGGCCGGGCGGTGCGAGCGGAGGCCGGGCGGTGCGAGCGGAGGCCGGGCGGTGCAAGCGGAGGGCAAGCGGAGGCCGGGCGGTGCTTCAAAGTTTTTATTTAGAAATTTAAATTTTTTTCCTGAAATTTCCCTCTTAAAATGAAGATGCGTGTTATACGCCTGTGCGTGTTATACGCCGATAAATACGGTAAATTTCATGACAAGTTTCACTGAATCACAACTTCATATTTCCAAACTTGAAGAGGCCTGGGAAGATGTAACAGTGGGATGGTGGCCAGAAGTGAAGTGAAACAGATAAGTATGTTTCTTCTTGCATATTCCCAGCTTAAGGAGGGAGACGGGAAAAAGCTATATACTTGCATTTATGTCTTTCCACCATTTTAAAAAAATGTATATGGATATTTTATTTCCATAATTGTAAATACAACTTGAAGATCCTGAGGCAGAACAAAGAGGACTTCTGACCACCTCAGTTTATACTAGTTTATATGATCCATTGTGGCTTAATTAAAAGGAGCTATCAGTAGGACAAAGCAGGCAGGAAAGCTGACTCAGAACCATTCTACATGCAGCTGGTTGCCAACTTACAACAGTTTGCTTAGTGACCATTTGAAGTTACAACAGCACTGGAAAAAGTAACATGACCATTTTTCACACTTACAACTATTGTCCCATCCCCATAATCATGTGATCAACATTCAGGTGCTTGGCCACTGACTCATATTTATGACGGTTGCAGTGTCCCAGGGTCTTAAAATGCAGGTAGTCTTCAACTTATAATCACAATTGACCCCAAAATTTACGTTGCTAAGTGAGACAGTTATTAAGTGAGCTTTTCTATCCTTTCATATCCTTTTTGTGACCTTCTGACAAGGTCTCAATACTATCTGTTACTATTTTAACAATTGCAGCGATTCACTTAAAAACTGTGGCAAGAAAGGTCATAAAATGGGGCAAAACTCCCTTAAACAATTGTCTCACTTAGCAACAGGAATTTTGGGCTCAGTTGTGTTCGAGGAGTACCTGTATCTTACACATTTCTTTACTTCTTGCAGTACAAGCAAAATACATAAGAATAAAAATGAGCACAATTATTTATCTGGACAGTTTTTGTGTTTTAACAATATTTTGTTTATATTTACAAAACATATTTCATTCACATCAGCCCCATGAAATAGTTTGCAAGCTGAGAAATGCAAGTTTATCCCCCAGCAATTGAGTCATTTATGCCTGGATAAATGAAGCTTGGCCTTGCTATACACATTTAATTCCTGTTGCATGCAGCTGAATTGGTCTTTGGAGATAGTAGATTTTATATTAGGCAAAGGTGAACTGAATGATGCATGATATTTTGTATTTTCCTCTGTCATGATACAGGTGTACCTGAAAGATGACTAGCTGACTTCATTAGTTACAAAGCAGTTCATGTGTGTGTGTGTGTGTGTATGTATATGTATATGTATACACACACACACACACACACACTGTCAGCTGGTGCTCCATTCAAAATCCAAGAAAGAAACACTAAGACTCTGTTAATTAGAGATAAGATATCTTTTACTGGAAATCAAGTGGTAGCATCAAAGGAATTCTGAATCTGAGAAAACGAGTGCGTAAATCACATATACAAAGTGATGGCAACGTTCCCACCCACAATAGTTCGAACTGTCCATCCAATTAAAATTTGTATGTAATGTCATGTGGGCAGCTTCAGGTGGTGATGAGGCATCTGTCCGTTGGCCTTGGCCTATTTTGATAAAGAGCTGCAGCTGTGCATAGCATAAGAAAGAAGCATAAACAAGAAACTCCCCACCCCCAAACTTATACAGTTTATTCTCTCCAGGCTCCAGTTCGCTTCCCATAACTATTTCACCCCTCCTTCCCCGTTACTTATGACAGCCGAAAGATGCAAAGCAAAGAAATCTTGAAGACACACACACACACACACACACACACACACACACACACTCCATATGTGTGGCAAGCAAATAGTTCTATGTATCATCTACGTATTTTACAGGTAAACTAGAATAGTGCTCAGCTATTGAATTAATACATGGCAAAAAGAAAGGAAAATATATCTGCGCTATGGCATATTTTAAATTATTTAATGACAACACTGGAAATAATTCCTTTATCCAAAAATATTTGTCCCCCCCTGATGAAAGTTGCACTATTTATCCTTTTTGTAAGGAGGCTTCCAAGCAACACCGTAACTTCTTTTTGAAACTTGCTGGGGACAGTCCAACCCAATGACAGACAGGAGTTGTAATCCAACTGAGTTTTAATCCAATAGATTTGGAAAAGGCTGGGGAGATTATTGGGTTACTCTTCCAAGTAAAAGTCTTGCTGGTAGTGATGAGAATTTGGATGGGGCCCATGGATGAGAGGATTTCTTTTCCTTCAGAGACCCTCTAAAAACTTCCAATTTAATTGTAACTGTTAAGGTGGCAGGAGGGAGAAATTGTAAAATTTATTTTATTTTATTTTATTTATTTGATTTGCCAATTGTTTACAAGATAATAAGTATAAGTGTATACATAGTTGTGAATACATGAAATGGGTACATATAAGAAAAATAAAAGAAGAATAAGAGAAACAATAGGACAGGGACGGTAGGCACGTTGGTGCGCTTATGCACGCCCCCTACAGACCTCTTAGGAAAGGGGTGAGGTCAATAGTAGACAGTCTAAGGTTAAAGTTTTTGGGGTTTGGGGACAAACACAGAAAGTACTCATATTACAGGAACGGTATTTAGTGCAGCTGTGCAAAGCATTCAGAAAAAGCGTGTCACACAATATGTCACTGCAGTCCTTCGGAACATGTTAACAACAGTTGTACTGTTTCTGTTTTTATTAGTGCTTTTAGTAGCAAGAGAAGCCAGGTACCGATAGTCCTTGATTTATGAAGCCTGGAATTCCTGTTGTAAGTCATGATGGCCATAAGCTGTTAAGCAAAAGCCATAATTATCAATAGATGCAAGTGTATTCCTATGGACATTATTACCGCAAACTGACAGAAAAGATCAGAGACCAGCAAAAAAGCATTATAAATTGTAGTTACATGATCAGGGGGCCCTACAACCAGCCGTAAAGTTGAGCCAGTTGCCAAGCCACCCAGAATGCAGTCATGTGACTGTGGAGATATGGGCAGCTATCAAAACTCCAAAACTGGGCCATAAGTAGCTTTTTTTTTTTTTTTTGGAGGGGGAGTTCCGTCATAACTTTGAATGGTTGCTAAGCAACCAATTGTTAAGTGAGGGCTATCTATACTGGGGAGGTGATTCTGAAGTGCTGACAGAAGGCATAATTTGCTTCTAAGTCTACAAGCATCTCCTGATTCTTCCCAATCATCTCTGCAGGATTAAATTATGCAAATCTTTATGTGAGTTTGTCAGCACCTAACGGTTTATTGTCACTGTTAGGTGGCTGAAAAAAAACTTGTCAGCCATGTTAGTGTAAGAGAAGTCATCACTGCTTTGTGATAATATATGCAATCAATTGGCACTCCTACCCCCAAAAAATTCTTTACTTTTGCAATAATTATATGTTCAGGATATACAGTATTTTTCATCCCACTTTTGTCTATTTGTCTTTGTATCTATTTATTTACATGTTGATGTGTTTCTATGCTTTCTATATTGCATATGGCACCTTTGTTCAGCAGTAATTTAGCTAATGGTGTCAATTATCTTCTTGCAGCTTTTTTCCCCCAAAGATCTTCCCACAAGAAGAGGCTGCTGGATTCATGGGTGCAATTGTTTTTCATTTTCAGGACAGAACACTTTTCGTGGACATCCAACAAGAGGCAATGATTGCAATCTAGGTGAGGCTGTAGAACATCTGGCATTGGCAATATGCATGCAGGTTAGTAGGTCCCGTGGTGACGTTTTATGTAACAGGAACAAAACAAAAGATGTAGTGCAGGTTCACAGTTCAAGAATTCAACCAGCATGGAAGGAAAAAGAAAAGAAAGGTATTCAAACTCAGGTTAGGATTACAAATACTAATAAAATATTCATGGTCTGAATTTGTCTGGGTACCAGTGAAAATTTATGCACATGTGCGATTTTTTTTACAACATTCTTATTGCATCTTTACCCCCAGACACAGTACCAGCTTACAATGGTATTAAGATGCCTTTTTCTTTGTGCTGAGTCTTAACACTATGCACTGAGGAATAGCAATAACATGAAACAAGGAGGGGAAAAATGATATATAGATTGAAAACATGGCAAAGTGCCTCAAATTTCAAAGTGATTATAAAAGTCAGCAGGCAAGTGGAACAGACTTGGAGAGCACAAGTGAGTCCTTCTTGCTTCAGGCTTCCTCCCCAATAAAATACCTTTCATATCCTCCAGTTGCGAAGAAAAAAAATACTCTCTGGAAGTATGAATCTCAAAAAGTGAGATTGACACTATATTTTGCAACTGTACTAAAGCAAAGTATTTTTTATCTCTTTTCTTCTTGAAAGAACTTGGTAAAACTCAGTGAGCTACAGATAGCAGCCCAGCAGTCTAAGGAATGGAATCTAAGTTGCTTGAGTCTACAGCCCATTTCACCTGTTCCCAGGTAGGAACCGCATAGCAAATTATTTTCCAGCAGGGTCCTGTATATTAAAGCAAAACATTTGCTAAAACGTGAGTATAATTTTCTTGTCTTGTTCAATTTATTCTAATTTCTCTATGGATTGCTGGTTCATTCTGCTGAAAATAAAACTCTAAGGCAGAAAAGATGGCATTAGTCAAGGCATTAAGTAGCCTTCAGTTTTTAATCTGGCAAAATTGTATTTTTTGTAAACGTGGACTGGCCAGCACCTATCCAACCCTGAGTGATATTTAAAGAGTTGCAGAATTGAGCCTGGTTATTGTTTTAATTGGAATCACTAGGAAATCCTAGGACTACAGATTAGATTGGGAAATTAGAAGAAGAGCTGAATAGCAAACTGCTTCCGTACTGTTGCAAAGAAAACTATAGAGACATTTCATAAAGTCACTAGGAGTCAAGCTCAACTTGAGGGAGATTTTGCTTTTATGAATGAGAACTGCATATTTGTGATAATTTCCAGCCAAACTGTTTTGCTCCGTCGTAAACAGGAAGCCCTTGTGGCTGGAATATGAAAAATGCTTGAGGATGACTTAGTCAAGCAGAGTTGGGCTGAAGAGTAGGATATTTGAAAATAGAGAAGCTCCAACAAGTCTGGAGTATGTCTGAAGCTTTGACTAGATTTCTACTTTCCAAGTTTGCCTAATTTCTGGACAGATTGAAAGGAATAATCCCCTGGTCTGCATTGATAAAGAGATAAACAGGCTCATCAGCTGCCTGGTGTATACGTGTGTGTGTGTGAGAGAGAGAGAGAGAATCTCAATCTGGGAAAGTCCAATTTCAGGATGACGCCTCTCTTCGGTTCTTCTTGTCTCAAGATTCAGGCTGTGGTTGAATGGAGAAAGTTCAGGGAAAGAGTACATGGTCTACATGCAATAGGTCCCAAGTTTAGTCTTCACAATTCCTGCCCGAAACTTTAGAAGCATACTGCCAGTGTCAGTCACATGACATGGAACAGTAAGGTGAAGGCAGCTCCCTATCTTCCTATGTCTAAATCTTGATTGGACCGGGAAACATCAGCAACCATCTAGCATACTTTCTCATACATCATGTGACTGGGGGCTCATTTTGCGCTGATCCTCACTCACCCTTAGAACAGGAGAGTACAGTGAGAAAGTTGCATATTAAAATTTGGCATTTTAGGTTAGACGAATGCCAGTGGTAATATGAATAGAGGAGCCCATTTCACACAGAGCACTTTGGCAAGTATAATAAGAGAAGACAGAAGAGTACAATCAATATGTGATTTGCTTAAACAAAGAGGACATTTTCTTCTTTAAGCAATGACATCTATGTATGATTGCATCACATGATATGACAACATTAAAATATTTATTATTCTCTAGAGGAATTGAATATGATCAAGGCTGGAGGGAATCTAGCATAATTTTCTTTAGTGGGAAATTTCATATGGGAATGTTTGAGAATTTCTTCAGACAGTTGGCTTAGTTTTGTTTTTTTAATACAGAATCCTAATACTCTTGGAAATAACTACATTATCTCTCTTTTTTAAAATCCATTTTCTCTAGCATAAAAGTACATTCATTTCCAGATGATTATAGAAGTCTTGAAATTGCTTGTGATTTAATAAATGTGTTATCAAAAATGGAAAGCATACCAATTTTAAAACATGAATCAGAAATGTATTTGTGTGTGTGTAATACTGGTGACCAGATTTACAATACAAAGTATGAAGTTGATTCTCCTTATTTGCTTCTTTACCTACTTGCTAAAATTTATTTGCAATCCCCAAATCAATATTTGCGCTAGGAAGGGTGGTTGGGATCATTGACTATATTTAGCTTGAAGAAAAGAACATTTCAGGGAGACAAAATAACTTCCTTCAAGTATTTGAAGGCTGTCAGTAAAAGATAGAGCAAATTTGATCCATGATTCCAAAGGGAAAGATATGGAACAATTAAGATTAAACTTCAGGGAAAGTTTTTTTGGTTGGACATCAAAAAGATTTTCTTAATGATAAAATCTGCCCAGTAATCAAAGAAACTGCCTTGGTGGGTGTTTGACTCACTTTGGCTTGGCTTTTAATGTGTGGCTGAGTCATCTTCTCTCGGCATGTCTGTAGTAGTAGAATCCCGCACTGGGCAGGAGGTTACATTATATATTTTTCTAAATGTCTCAAAGAAACCAAACTTACACGTAAAAGAAGTCCACTGAAAACCTTCCATCTTGATTAGCCAGCAGTGATATGTTGAGAGAGAAGAGGCAAATGACACACCTATGTAGGCAGCTTCAGAATTCAGTTCAGCCACAGGAAAGGACTTCTTTAGCAACTCAATATATTGTTTCTTCAACATTCTCAGAGCGCACAGAGCTTCCCCCAGGATCATTTCCACAAAGATAAACTGAAGGTAGAAGATTATTTGAAAGACCTATGTGTCCTTTGTGGCCAATTGTATATCCGTTCATGTATACATACCTATTTTTTAATTTGTTTTCTTTTGCAGTGATATTGAAATTTCCAGGGGACAGGCTCCAAAGCCTATCCATATTCTTGCCAAAGAGATAGGATTGCTCACAGAAGAAATTGAAATCTATGGCCAAACCAAAGCCAAAGTACGTCTTTCTCTGCTGGAAAGGTTGAAAGATCAGCCAGATGGAAAATATGTACTGGTTGCTGGGTAAGAAATAATTTAATAAATGTATTCCCCTTGCTCTTGCTTAGATAACAAAACGCAGCTTGTATTTTCATTTATTGAATGAGATGGTCCCATCTGCAACATTTACAACTTTTTTCTTCCCTCTTTCTCTTGCATTATTTAACGTATGTGAATTATCCTGAACAGCCTTGCATTTCATTCATTGAGAAGAACGTTTGTCACCATTCATATTTATTATTTATTTGTGTGTCTGCCTTTTGTTTAGTAGCTTAAGAAGGCAAACATACTGTGCAGCTCCATTTTCCATTTTTCCTCACACCAAAATCCCTGGCCTAAATCAACTACCGAATTTAGGTCAATGAGGAAAGGCTAGAACCCGAGTCTCCCTGATACTAGTCCAACACTTTAACTACCATGCAATGCTTCCAAGCACATATTACAAATTTGCTACTTACAATTTAACTGGAAGTTCTCGGAGGAGCAATTCTGGAAGGGAAAGCCAAAGTTACCTCTCCCTAAGACAACAGTAATTATGGATTACTCTGATTGCTCTGATCAGCTCTCCCAAAGCAGGAGCTTAGGTCATGGCATGAGGACCTGGTTTGTCTCTTTTACAGATCAAGCCATACAATATTACTTAAGAAATAAAAGAACCTACATGAATGGATGTTCATGTAAATAGGGACGCGGGGGCTAAGTGGCTAAGACGCTGAGCTTGTCGATCAGAAAGGCTGGTGGTTCGAATCCCTAGCACCGCGTAACGGAGGGAGCTCCCGTTACTTGTCCCAGATTCTGCCAACCTAGCAGTTCAAAAGCGTGTAAAAATGCAAGTAGAAAAATAGGGACCACTTTGGTGGGAAGGTAACAGTGTTCCAGGCACCTTCGGCATTTAGTCATGCTGGCCATATGACCACAGAGACGTCTTCGGACAGCTCTGGCTCTTCAGCTTTGTAACAGAGATGAGCACTATCCACTAGGGCCGGAAATGACTAGCACATATGTGCAAGGGGAACCTTTATCTTTACCTTACATTCAGTTATCAATGGGTTCTTTGCGCTATTTATTAACTTAGAGCTTACTTTGGTTCCAGTCATCCAGGTAACTAGCAACACATGCTACATAGCTCTGCTTTGAGAATTATCCATGCCAGAGTTGCATCTTTTATTGTTCTCCTTTGTTTTCAACTATATCCCCTCCTGTCCTGTCTCACTGCTTGGATTACGAAGCAGTTTACACGGCTTTACATTTATATTATTATTTATGTGTTATATTTGCTACCTATCTTGCAATGAGCTACTGAGCTATGTATGTGTGTTTGTCTCCAGATGAGATAGGTAGCACATAAACCCAATAAATATATAAATATGCTTAATTTTTCAATACAGTCCATCTTTAAATTTAGGTGCTACTTATTCAATGAATGCTGCCTTTAGCAAATAAGGAAGCTATCAGCAATTTTTGCCATGTCACACTTAACTTTTTTCAGATGTGATAGGCTACCTGACCAGGGCTGCATAAACCCAGATAAACAGGTAGATGGCACCAAAGTGTGTATGTTTTCATTTTAGAATATTGCAGAATCTTTCAAAATTCACATATAGTTTTTTATAATCAATCAATCATAATTACAATCATAAGTCATTGCAGCCATTAAGTCGGTGACCATGTAACCATGCCTGATTTTGCAGCCTTTTTTGTGGCAGTCGTTAGATAAATGCAGAGGTCGTAAAGTAAACACAGCAGTCATTAAGTGAATCCATTTTATGCCATGGCATTTATTTTAATTTTTTTGCCAGAAACTGTTAGTAAATGCTGGAAATCAGAAAAAAATCAAAAACTGAAATTACATGATGTAAAAGTGAGCTGGTTGCCGAGAATCCAGAATGCAATCATATGATTGTAAGGAGCAGGTATTAGAACTTCAAAATTAGGTCATAAGTACCTTTTTAGGGGTCCACCCATAACTTCAAACAGCCACTAAGCGATCGGTCATTAAGTGAGGACTACCTGTATGCTTCTTTTTTTCTTTCATGTTCTCTTTAAGCTGTCCTCTTTGGTTCAGAATGCAAGTATAAAATGTTACATTTACATAATGTTCCTTTTCCAACATCAAGAGATCATCAGATAGTTAAAATGTGCTGAGAGATAGGAACTGAAAAAAAATCTCCGACCAGGCTCCTGTGACTTGGTTCCCTTGGCCCTGTTGTGAAATTCAGACTATCAGAAAACATTGGTTTTTCTGAGCTCGCAAAATTATTACAAGCATGTTTTTGTGTGTGTGTGTGTGTTAAATAACGATAGACAAAATGTTCAGTTCTTTTAAAAGGTAAATAAAAAAAATATTTCTGATTGCATCTTTCACCCAAAGCAAAATGTAGCCTACCACGGACAGCTGGACCTTTTTTGCAAAGTTTCTGCAGTTCAGGGAAATATGTTTCTAATTAGAGGTGGATTTCTAGCTTGAGTCTTTTGGAGGTCATGCAATAGGAGTTACCGCTTTTGGCTCACTTCTGCCTGAAAGCTTGTATATCCCTGGGAATGAAAATGTAATCCGCAGTGTCACATACCTTAAATAAACTACTTATTTCACTGCATTTGCTAAAGTACCACAGATTTAAACAGTTAAATGTAGCATATCTTGGCAAGCGTTTTCTGTTAGAAATGGAGTGGGAATGATGTGAATGAAAATGTAATTTAGTTTTGTTTGGTTTTTAACTTGAATTTTCTCTGGCTGATAAAAGAGATGCCCCAGATGAATTACTTGGGTAGTTTTGAAATCTCTCTGCAGAAATGCACTGATTGCAGTGCAAATTTATGGTGGTCAGTGTTTTTACTGCTAAATGGAAACAAATCCTCTACGTGGGAATTATGGGACCGGATCTTTAACATATCTGAACAATGGCATCTTAGAGAAAGCAGGTCTAATTCTGTTAAATAAGCACTGCTAATTTCCATAAGTGTTTTGTCAGGTAGGAAAACAACTTTTCCTTTCTACACACATCCCCCTCAATTTTGGTTCACCAAAAGACTCTTAGTCATGCACTCACTTTTATCACTTTACTCTCTGCATCATATTAGTACTTTTTAAAGTCTTATATTTCCTCCAATTTTTTTTAAAGGTTCAGTCTCAGCCTTAAATTTCCTGTTATAAGTTTATAAAAATCGTAGATAGGTGGCTATTTGTACATTGCCTTTAAAACAAGAGAAACCTGCAAGCATACATTGTTTTGTTGCACTTTGCTTTATTGTGCTTGGCTTTCACCAGCAAAAATATTACAATTCACTGGAGGTCAGGTAATGATTAGCATATTTTAGCAATAAAGTATTTTTTTAATTAAGACATGTACATTGAGGGATTTTTTTGAGCTAATGCTATTGCACAGTTAGTAAGCTACAGTTCACTGTATAAACATACTTTTATATGCACTGGGAAACCAAAACATTTGTGTGACTCATTTTACTGTGATATTTGCTTTAGTGTGGTAGTCTGAAACTGAACACACAGTGTTTCTGAGATATGCCTGTATTGTACTCATTTTTATTACTTTGTAGTAATTAAGGATATGTTGAAAAACTATAACCTTCATGACATTATAGACCATATAATGATCTATAATTATAGACCATGTGTTTACTTATTTCTTTCTACTCTTAATTCTCTTTATGTGTCTTTCATATATTGTGATTTATATCCTTTTTAAAAACAATTAATAAAATAATATTTAAAAAGAATCATAATCTCAAAATTACTGGGAGTAAATGATGGATCGTCTGATTGATAGATAGCTAGATAGGTATAAAAATGGACGTGGGTATGAGTGAAATTTAATTGAAACACTGACTGTGAAAAATGACTTCAATGTGTCTCAGCATGCAACAGAAGAATGAACACATTTTTAACATTTTGATTGATATTAGCTAATAAAAATAAAATATCTGGAATATTTTCAATATATTTTTAAAATATAAAATATCATTTTTAGCCAAGACGGATTAAATTCTGACCATATTTTAGTGTGTGACAAAATTGATAAAATAACTTACATGATGCAGTTCCATTTTAATTCTTATTTGGAAATTAATTAGTTAGATTTTTGGAATAGACAAAAAATCCAGTTCAAACTTAGGTTTGATTTTGAAAAGAATCTATCTTGCTTCAGAGATTAATTCATTACACTCTATAAGCTTGTATCTGAATATTTGTATATATCTTTGAATGCATTGAACTCACAAAAGATGTAAATTGTGTTTAACAGAAGAAATTTAGGGAGGCGAACTGACTATAGTCAGTTATGCTATGCTGTATATTAAACTAATGTACACTAATCTGAGCAAAATTGAGTCTGGCACTTTTATTTTAAAAGGAAAATACTAATAGTTGATTTCGTAATAGGCCACAATTATGACAACTTGACAACAACACACTGTGATATAATTTCAGAAATGATATATTTAGCAATGATGCCATGTTTGAAACAAATATGAGACTGCATATAATGTGTACAGTCACATCACAATGCATATATTACAGAGGTGGTATTCAGCAGGTTCTGACCAGTTCTGGAGAACTGGTAGCAGAAATTTTGAATAGTTTGGAGAACCGACAAATATCTGCATGGAGATTTTATAGTATTTGTTTATATTTCACAATCCTCTGCAAGGAACAGTATCAGTAAGATGGAGGTGGATGAAGAATAAGATGCTTGGGCAGTCTGTAAGAATGGAATATCCATCATTTTCTAAGCAAGCTCTCTAGACTGCAGTTTTTCTAAGTCCCAAAATATTGCCATTGGCCATTGGAAACTGGAAACGTCCTGTATTTCCCATTGGGGGGGTGAATTTATAGGGAACTTGTGAAATTAATTGTATACACTGAAAATTGTTAATTGTTAAAAAAGACAACATTGCAGTATTGTTAGCATATGATTCATGTGACTTCCTTTAACACCAGTAAAATATATTGAATTAAAATATCATTTTAGGATCATACAAATCAGAAATTTGAGGGGTTGTAGTCAGGAATATTGGGTGTGCTATTGAGCTATTAAGCTCTGTTTGATTGAGTTCTTGACAGCTGGTTAATTTGTTGAACAGATAATAGCACAGCAAAAGCTCACATTTTTATTGCTTTGCCTGGAGAAGAGGGCTTCTTCAGGCATAACGGTAAGGTAAATCTGGAGTACATCTAAAGGGAATCATTTCTTGCACGCACTGATAAAACCAGAACCTGAACAGGAGCATCACCAAGCTTTCTGGACAGCTAGCATATCCATGCAGAGCAGGAAAAATATGAGTTTGTACATTTGCTCTAATCATTCTGAAAATACTGGGATTTATTGATTAAATGAATTTACCCAGCTGTCCAGCTCAATCTTGTGTGCATAGTTCACAATGCAAACCATTAAAAAAATCATAAAGGAACATTTCATTAAAACTGAGAACCCCAAAGACTATATTCCAGTCATATTATGGATACCTGGCTCTACTGACAACCTAATCTTAGCGATTGTGAGAAAAACAGCTCTTCAGCTTATGTACCCATTGAAGAATTTAACTTCTGTTTAATCATTTATAATAGAATGTTATGCATAATTGAGATTTATCCATGAGAATTCTTTATTATAGATATGCCTCTTTTTATTCAGTCAGATGGTAGAAGGGCATTAACAATAGCACTTAGACTTATATACTGCTTCATAGTGCTTTATAGCCTTTTCTAAGCAGTTTTACAGAGTCAGCAGATTGCCCCCAACAATCTGGGTCCTCATTTTACTGGCCTCAGAAGGATGGAAGGCTGAGTCAATCTTGAGCTGGTGAGAATCGAATTGCTGAACTGCAGTCAGCCGCCAGTCAGCAGAAGTAGCTTGCACTACTGCATTCTAACCACTCACCAATCACCACTTTAAAGTGATGGATGTCACCAGGTCATTGAAGTTTCACGCTTTATAACATATTCACATGTTAAAGGGAGGCAGAGCTTCAATCACCTAATGGTGCCTGCCATTTTGAAGCTAGTGACTATCACTTCAGAAACCCTCAGGACAGTAGGCACAACATTGATTTACCTCAAGCCAATTCTAAGCTGAAATATTGCCAGTGAATTTTGATTGCACATGGTATCTCTCAAATGGTAATGCTTTGTGTACCATATCAACTATGTTTAAAAAGGGGGAAATAGTTAAAGAAAATCTCTAACTCTTGTATCTTCATTGTTCACACTCAAGAAGATTATTAAGCTGTTCTTTCATATGTCCTCAGTCATCCAAATTTCTGATTTTTTTTTATTATCAAGAAATGTCATCCAGCAAAAAGAGATTTCAGTGTATGAAAGATTTTTTTTCCTGCCAGCCTTGCATTTCAAAATTACCGCATTTCCCCAGGTTCTTAGGGGTTTAACCTTTAGTTCAATTTTATTATTTACAGCAGATTCTTGGGTGATATCTGAATGATGATAAAGGTCAATCCTATATGGAATTATAATGGATCATAGCACTGCAAAGCTTGAGAAATCCTTTCTTACTGATATTGTGATTCACTGCATTTTATTTTTGCTAAAATAATAATTTATAATACAAAATAATAATTTGGGTAGGAGGTATAGATGCATTGATGTATCCCTATTGTTCACAACTTTAGGTCTAGTATGATTAATTATCAGAACTAATTGCTGTCTAATTTATATATCATCCTAGATTATATTCTTTCTGTTTTATTCTACGATTGGCATATGTTTCTGCTTGGATGATTTTTTTACATAAGAATGGTAAAATATCATTATTTGATTGAAATTTCCTTATTTAGGCTAGAACCAACAGACCTATTGATGGAATTTGATGTATTGTTTTATATTGCTAGGATTACACCGACACCCCTTGGAGAAGGGAAGAGCACAGTGACAATTGGCTTGGTCCAAGCACTGACAGCCCACCTTAAAATAAATTCCTTTGCCTGCCTGAGACAGCCTTCTCAAGGACCTACTTTTGGTGTTAAAGGTAAGCATTACTTTCTCAAAGAAGAGCAGGCAGTTTGAAAATCACAGGAGGGTTGGCTGGTGGCATCATGTTATTGACAGAGAAGATAGGGCCAAAAGTTGCAGACTTTTTGAAATGGCTTAACACAGGAGTTCCCAAACCTGGCAACTATAAGACTTGTCTTCTTCAGCTCCCAGAATTCCTTGGCCCTCCATGCTGGCTGGGGAATTCTGGGAGTTGGAATCCATAAGTCTTAAAGTTGTCAAAATTAGAGACCCCCGTTTTAGCTGTTTGTAAGATAGTGCACACAAAAAACCAAAACCATGACTACTAATGCTACCCTTATTCTAAGTTTGCAGTAGCATCTTGCAAATGTGAAAATGAATGCACTTCCCCCCCTTCCCTACCTTTACTTTCCAGAGAATTAGGAAATGTCTCTTCTAAGACACTTTTTGCACCCCATTAATCTTCTGGATTCAAATATTGTTTGTCAGACTATTCTCTAGGGTATGACTCTTATTCTTGCCTCTCAAGGCTATTTTCACAGCTCATTACATCACCTTAAGTTTTAGACACAGTGTTTGTTTCTTAAACTCCCCTCCCCATATGAAAAGGAAGCCAATTTGAGAAGAATAAATTTGTTTCATTCCTTAAATCCCGGAAGCTATAGCTGAGGAAAGCTGATGCTTTTAATACAGTGTGTTAGTTTGGAAAAGGTGTTGGCAGTCTCCTGAGTTTTAACCTTCAAATGCTTGCAATCCTTCAAACCTTTCCAAATTCACCAAACATTTACCCTGTTCCAAGGGTTTTCTGAGGTGTTCTCACAGACCCAAAAGATGCTGGAGACAATAGGCAATCCAAATCTGATATAAGAAAATTGGATTAGCTTCCTGATCATAATCCTGAGCTGAGCAAGGAAGGAATGTCAGGTTGAAATGAGGGGGAATCATGACCTCTATCATCCACAGTTTGCTAACATGTTCTCTTCATTGTGTAGGAGGAGCAGCAGGAGGTGGATATTCTCAAGTCATACCCATGGAGGAGGTAAACAAATATTTGCCTTGGAAAACTAATTGTCCTCTGCATTGAGAAAGAGTAAAGGCACAGAAATGATTCTTCTGTGAAATTAATTTAAATAGCAACCTAACTTTAATTTTTAAATAATGACCAGTTTGGGCAAAGATCGTTTGCTGCCTGAGTTGGGGTGCACATTTCATCTTTGATAACATTGCAGGACATCCCAGATTCAGACACAAGAAGAACTTCCAAATACAAGGGTTAAGCCAGGCAGTCCTAGAAAGAAGTGACTCCCTAGTTTCTAGTGCCCTCCACCCCCCAAAAATCAACCTTCCTCTGCTTATACCAGGGTCTATCCTGAAAATTTCATTTTGTGTAGCAGTTTGCATGTGATCTTAGATCAAGGGGCTCTACTCATGGTCACTCATGCCCTAGTCATGTCTCAGTTAAACTACCGCAATGCAGTCCACATGGGGCTGCCTTTGAAGAGCATCTGGAAAATTCAGCTGGTGCAAAATACAGTGGCACAAGCAATTACACTTCACGAGCTGCTTTGGTATCCAATTTATTTCCAGGCCCAATTCAAGGTGGTGGTGTTGATCTTTAAAGCCCTTATGGCATGGGGCCAGGTTATTTGGAAACCACCTCTCCCCAATTTCATCTGCCCGTCTCGCTAGATCTAGTAGAGAGGGCAAGTTGCAGGTTTCATCGTCTAGGGCAGTGGTCCCCAACCTTTTTTATGCCGCGGCCCGGTACCGGCATCAGCTGGGCGCCGCCATCTTGTTTTGATGAAAAAGTGCTTCCGGTGAGCTTTCTACCCGGAAAAGCTCACCGGAAGCACTTTTTCATCAAAACAAGATGGCGGCGCCCAGCAAACCAGCGGCCCGGTAGGATTTGTTCCACGGACCGGTACCGGTCCGCGGACCAGTGGTTGGGGACCCCTGGTCTAGGGAGCTACTTTTAGTGGACCATAGAGAGCGGGCCTTCTCTGAAGTAGTGCCGACATTGTGGACTTTTCTCCCCACTGAGGTAAGGTTGGCCTCATCTCTTTGAGCTTCTGAAGGTCACTCAAGACTTGGTTGTATCAGCAGGCCTGGGGACCCAAGGGAGTGAGTGAGCTAGTCCCTTCTTCTAAATTTTATTTTAGCTTGTTTTTTGTAGATGTTTTAACTGTTAATAATTGTAATAACATTTGTGGGTGTTTATTGATTGTTTTAACTTGTATCACTTGTTCTGTGAGATGTGTGGCTATATAAATTATGTAGGTAGATGATAGACAGACACCTGAACAGACTCATTCGTTCATTGGATTAATTTTCTCAGGGATATTAATTAAACATTTCAATTAAGAAAACATATGAAATGTTTTACTTGCCACCCAGATTTCTTACAGAGTCTGAGAAAGATTCATAGCTATTTTAAAACACATGTCATTTTTGTTCCTCTTTATCCAAATCATAAGTCAAAATGATTTCTAAATGGATCTGTGCAAATCACCCACAGCCTGCCACATTAAAAAAGTAACATTTTCAACTTTCCTGTATGAATTTCTGCTTAGGTCATGAGAACTCATTTATTGAACACAGAACTGGGATCATCTATAATGTAGTAAATCACTTCAATCACGACAGTTATGATTCCATAATATTTCAAACTGCTCATCTGAACTACTAATCCCAGAAGTGAATGTTTGGGTGGGTTGAAACAACCGACACTAGTTTAATGGAGTGTGCAAAAAGAATGTCTTTTTCATATTTCATTCCTATATAGTTCAACCTTCACTTAACTGGTGATATTCATGCCATTACTGCAGCAAATAATTTGCTGGCTGCTGCCATAGACGCTAGGACACTACACGAGAACACTCAGTCTGATAAGGTAAGAATAATCCTTCATTCCACGGTAATTTGCTGTGAAATGCAATTTTGAGAATATAATAATTAAAACCATTTCAAATATTTCATCATTGACCGCTAGGAGTTTGAAGGTCTGAGACTTCAAAAAGAAAAGAAAAGAAAAGTTGGGTTTTTCCCTTGCTTTATTCCCTGTAAATCTTCCTTTCCTTCCTTCCTTCCTTCCTTCCTTCCTTCCTTCCTTCCTTCCTTCCTCCCTCCCTCCCACCCTCCCTCCCTCCCTCCCTCCCCTCCTTCTTCCTTCCTTCCTATTATGAAGGAGAGGGTTTTTTTTAATGATGACAGAATGATTCAAAGTTTCAACCCCTTTCTGATCCTACCATGATTTTTAAAAACAATACATGTACAGCAGTTTTGGCCCTGGGGCTATTACTATTTTCAAAAAAAGAAGGTAGTGCCTACTCATGCTTGTAAACATTAATTGAGGGCTTCTCAACCGTGGCAACTTTAAGACATGTGGTCTTCAACTCCCAGTATTCTCCAATCAGTATATGCTGACTGAGGAATTCTGGAAATTGAAATCCATATGTCTTAAATTTAACCAGAGTTGAAAATCCTTGCAAATGGATTTGATTCTCTGCCCCAGAAGTCTGATTAGGACTCAGTGAACTTGTGCTATACAGGTAGTCCTTGACTTATGCCCAAAATTTCTGTTCCTAAGTGAGACATTTGTTAAGTGAGTTGTGCCCCACTTTATGACCTTTCTTGCCACAGTTGTTAAGTTGTTAATCACTGCAGTTGTGCAGTTAGTAACAGGGTCATTAAGTGAATCTAGCTTCCCCATGGACTTTGTTGTCAGAAGGTCACAAAAGGTGATCAGATGACCCTGGGGCACTGCAACCATCATAAATATGAACCACTTGCCAAGCATCTAAACCAGGATCATTTGACCATGGAGATGCTGCAATGGTCATAAGTGTGAAAAATGCTCATAAATCACTTTCTTTGTAACTTTGAACAGTCATTGCCATTGTATTTGAACAGTCACTAAATTATACTGTTGTAAGTTGAGGACTACCTGTAGTGGGCAGAAATCTCTGTTTTTAGATTAAAGGTAAAGGTAAAGGTGGTGCTCATCTCCGTTACAAAGCCGAAGAACCAGCGCTGTCCGAAGATGTCTCCGTGATTATGTGGCCGGCAAGACTAAATTCAGAAGGCACACAGAACGCTGTTACCTTCCCAACAAAGTGGTCCTATTTTTCTACTTGCATTTTTACATGCTTTCGAACTGCTAGGTTGGCAGAATCTGGGACAAGTAACGGGAGCTCACTCCATTACGCGGTGCTAGGGATTCGAACCGCCAACGTGCTGACCTTTCTGATCGACAAGCTCAGCATCTTAGCCACTGAGCCACCGTGTCCCTATTCAGATTTTTGGATTACCAACAAGAAAATAATGCCCCTAAACATTTTGCAATCAGGAAGAACACCTGTGCTGCCCTAGTGCCTTGGCTTTGAGATTTGTCAATGTAGAAAGTTTTTTTGTGGTTCAGAGGCTCATCTTTTCATTTCTGCTTGTGTAGTTTAAAAACTGTTTGTTGTGCTCATGCAATTATGGAAAGTTTGCATCAGACAATATAATATGAAATCTGACACATTAAATTTGCTATCCTGGACCCATGATATATTATTAGAAATAGCCCAAAATTCTGGAGGGATGCAGAGGCCAAGTTGCCCGTTCAGGTATTCTTATTTTGAGAAAGATAGGTATATAGCACCATTGATAGTGATCCCATAAATATACATAAATTTTTGAGCTGGAAAAGATATGCCCCATGACCTCCAGGACAGTCTTTTAATTGTGACATGTCACATTTAATGACTACGTTTGATTGTTATGCACACTGTGTTTTCTCATAAAAGGCATTTTGAAGTTGAAATAACTGTTGGGTCGAATATTTCTCTTGAAATGCATAGAATTTAGATAGAATTAGGCTTGACTAAGTTCTTGGTTTAGATTCAACATTACGTAAGCTTTA